AACTTATCGTCAGTAAATAGTTCCCAGTTGGTATCATACAACATGCTTCTTAGTGCTAGAATGTTGTCATGGGAATATGAACGTTCGTGTATCTTCTTTGTTAAATGACTAAACAATTTTTGTTGTAACTTGCCGTACACTTTCGGCAAAATACGAATAATGCAGTGGTCAGAGTTTAGCAAAGGAGCTCTCCTTCGGGTTTCAAATACATCACGGTCATTTATGAAAACCAGGTCTAGTGATTTGTCCAGATGTGTATTAAACTTGACTAGATTCTCATGACCAAGTGAAGTAAGAAAGCTGTGATCACATGAATTAAAATCACCACAGACTATAGACAACGAGTTTCCGAATGCAGGAGCAGCGAATTCAGTAAACTCATCTGCAAACATAACTATATTAGAAAGGCTACAATTGGGTGTTATGTAAATATTTGTTATGTATATATAAGAATATTTACTTAAGTGTTTTGGGCGACACCTGACGGTTATGCAATCTATATTGTCATTAGAATAATTGAAGCAAACGTGATTTGATGTAGACCAACTTGTGTTTATAAAAGTGGTTACCCCTCCTCCATATTTTTTCTTACAACTTTTTCTATCTTGGCGAAAAACTTTATATCCATTTATTGAAACTATATTATCATCATAATGCTGGTGCAGCCAAGTCTCTTGTATTGCTAAAACGCCAGCATTTCGATAAACACTAGAATACATTAGGGATTGAAGATAATCCATTTTGTTGAACAGGGATCTACAATTAGTGCTAACGAGTTCAGGAACAGTCATTTGATTAATTTGTGTACGTTTCAGTGCACGCTGCCAGCCACAGTGATGCTTTTTTCTCCATTTTTGTGGATGACACAACGCAGTAGGTTGTAATGATTTTAAAAATGCGCGATTATATATAATACGATTAGGACACATTATTGATAAATTAAAACAAAATTAAAAGAGCAAACCAAAGCAATTTTGCAAAATGTTGTAAGGTGGAATTTTTGGTAGCCCTATGTTCAAGCAGGCCACCTGTAAATCTGTGATGAAACCCGATAAACAAAACAAATCGTTACAAATCAACTCTTGAAAGTTGATCGAAATTGAAATAACAAAGGTTTGTATATAGAAGCGACTTCTTTTGTGTTTTGAAAAATCTTTGTGGAATCATGTGAGTCTTGAAACAGACATGAAAATATGATGAACAAGCGTTCATGAACTGAGATCAAAACTTGACCACACACTTACAAACATTAGTCTATTTTTCGTTAAACAAAGTAAACGGTGTGTACTTTAGCTTCAATTTTTTAGTGATTACATTCGACTAAAGTTCATGGTCGTAGATAACTGAATTCGAACAACATATATACGTGTATATACGGTATACAATGGTGTGTGTATGTGTGTATAGGTAAACAGTTGTGAAACTTTTCTTAGCTTCTCCATAAAAGGATACAGAAAATCGGGAATTTAGATCAAGTATGATTGATGAGTAACCTCGCCAGATACTAGCTTGCTAGGCTACTAGCTTACTAGTTTTCTCGCCGGTCCCAAGCCCGGGTAAAGAGGGAGGGTTGGGGCGTGGTGCTAGCAACTCCACCCCTGTAAAACAACCAAATCGCTACAGAAACTTCAACGAATAAATATATTAAAAATTCTAAAAACATAAGCAATAGCCTTATTTTTCGCTGGAATCGGGGAAGTGAAATGACGCAGGCTGGTGAAAGCCTTCGGGAAGCCAGTCAGCCGATGTGCCTTCTCTCGATGAAAGCAAAAGTAAGGATGGGTACCTGGAATGTTCGCACAATGTACGAAACTGGAAAGGCTGCCCAGATAGCCGCTGAAATGAGAAGGTACAGAATAGAAGTGTTGGGAATCTGCGAGAGCAGATGGAACGGAACTGGAAGGTGCCAACTACCTACTGGAGAGACAGTAATCTATTCCGGCCACCTAGAGGACAACCATGAGCACACCGAGGGAGTGGCCATCATGATGTCACCAACAGCAACCAAAGCTCTCATGCAGTGGGAACCAATCTCCTCCAGGATAATGACAGCCAGGTTCAACTCAAAAGGAAGGAAAGTTACAGTCATTCAATGTTATGCGCCTACAAACGTCTCAGAACAAGAGAAGAAGGAGGCGTTCTACAGACAACTACAAGCAATAATGGACAACGTCCCAAATGGCGATATCAAAATCCTGATGGGCGACATGAATGCGAAGCTGGGAGGAGACAACACAGGAAGAGAACTCACCATGGGTCGTGAGGCCCTCGGTGAAATGAACGACAATGGTGAACTCTTCTCAGACTTCTGCGCCTTCAATGATTTGGTGATTGGTGGTAGTGTGTTCAAACACAAGGATATACACAAGACGACATGGATTTCACCAGATGGAAACACCAAGAACCAAATAGACTTCATCTCAATTTCAAGAAAGTGGAGACGGAGCCTACTGGACACAAGGTCGAGGAGAGGAGCAGATGTGGGTTCAGACCACTATCTAGTACAAGGGACTTTCAAGGTGAAGCTAAAAGCCTCGAGGATAGCTGGGGATAGGCCACAATGCAAGTTCAACACTCAATTACTGAAGGACACAACCACAAAGGACACTTTCACTGCAACTGTCAGAGCAAAGCAGGAAACACTACGCGACAGCACTGAAGAATCATGCGTGGAAGAACATTGGAAGTCTCTGAAGGCGATTCTCAACGAAACGTGTTCAACGGTTCTAGGAAGAAAGAAGAGACAAGACAAGGAATGGCTCTCAACGGACACTTGGAAATTAATAGAAGAGAGGAGAATGGTGAAAGAGAAAATGATTCAATGCAAGGACGGACAGGAGAAGGAGACGATGAGCTCAACTTACAAAGCATTGGACAAAGAAGTGAAGAAAAGTGCTAGGAAGGACAAAAGACGATTCTACGACAATCTAGCTACTGAAGCTGAAAAGGCAGCAGGCAAAAGGGACCTGAGGACACTATATCAGATAACCAAATCTCTATCCGGGAAGAGACCAACACAAGCGAAACCTATAAAAGACAGCCAAGGGAAGCCCATTACCAAGGAAGAAAAACAGATTAAACAATGGGCGGATCACTTCAAAGGACTCTTGAACTGACCATCACCTGCAACCCGTCCAGAAATACCAACAACAGCGCGCACACAACTGCAAGTTGACACCAATCCTCCAACAAGAGCTGAAGTCTTGAACGCAATCAAACTTCTGAAAGCTGGAAAAACAGCCGGACCAGATGGAATACCCCCTGAAGCACTGAAAGCAGACCCAGAGACGACAGCAGACATGCTGACTCCATTATTGCAAAAGGTCTGGAAGGAGGGAAAGGTGCCTACTGACTGGAGGAAAGGTTACCTCGTGAAACTACCAAAGAAGGGCGACTTACGCCTCACTCTGCAAGAACTGGCGAGGAATCATGCTCCTATCGACGCCAAGTAAAATCCTGAGTCGCATCATCCTGGAGAGATTAAAGGACGCACTGGAGACAGAACTCCGACCAGAACAAGCTGGATTCAGGAAAGGCAAATCATGTACTGACCAAATTGCAACTCTACGCATCATCATCACAGAACAAAGCATGGAATGGCAATCAAACCTCTACCTCAACTTTATAGACTTTGAGAAGGCCTTCGACAGCGTTGATCGTGAAGTAATTTGGAAATTACTCGAGTACTATGGCGTACCCCAAATATTCATCAACCTTATTCAACAGCTGTACGACAACGGCACCTGCCAAGTGATCCACAACGGAAGACTCAGCGAGGCGTTTGGAGTAAACACAGGAGTCAGACAAGGGTGCTTATTATCACCAATGATATTCCTAATTGTGGTGGACTGGATTATGCGTCAGACTGTGGGAAACGAGAAGACAGGGATATCCTGGACCGACGTGAAGAACCTAGAAGACTTGGATTTCGCGCGTGGATGATTTATGTTTGATGTCACACAAAATCGAAGACTTACAAGCGAAAACCGACAAACTGGTCGAAGAAGCAGCAAAGACAGGACTCCAGGTAAACATAGACAAGACGGAGGTTATGAAAATAACCAACCAACAACAACAGCAACATCCAACGACAATCACCATCAACGGGAGGGATTTGAAAGAGGTTACTTCATTCACTTATCTAGGGAGCATTGTCTCAACTACAGGAGGAGCGGACGAGGATGTCAAATCGAGCGAAAATCGGGAAGGCGAGAAACACATTCATCATCCTGAAATCAATCTGGAAATCTTCGTCACTCAGCATCACCAACAAAATTCGGATTTTCAATACAAACGTAAAGTCAGTTCTTCTATACGGATCAGAAACTTGGCGGGTCACAAAGAATATTTCCAAAAGGCTGCAGACCTTTATTAACAACTGTCTTCGCTCTATACTGAAGATCAGATGGCCGGAAAGAATCACCAACAAGGAATTATGGGAACAAACAAAGCAAGAACCAATCGCCCAACAAATATGCAGGAGAAAGTGGAGATGGATCGGACACTCGCTGAGGAGACCGCTGGGTGACATCCCGCGCCAAGCCCTCGAGTGGAACCCGAAAGGGAAGCGGCGTGTGGGACGTCCAAGGGTGACATGGAGGAGATCGTGTGAAGAGGAGTTGAAAGAATATGGATTAACATGGATGCAGGCGAAAACTATAGCAGAAGACAGAAGAAAATGATGAATTCCTCCGACCAATGAAACGAAATCCCTACAAAAATCAATACTTTAAACGTCATATTATACTTGTATCTATGATAAGTTCTTGTATGATTAGAGTGCTCGAAATGTTACGTCATCGCTGTTGCCTAGTCTAAATTCATAAATGGCAGTAATCGTTTTTTAAATTTTACACACATATGTTTACTTCTCACACGGTGTCTCCAATAGCACTATTTTGGAACTCTATTCAACATCATTCGGTCAAATCTTGATATCACCGTTGTTCATATGAATAAGGATAAATTTTCAAACGTAATAGTAGTAGTAATGCACCGACCTTGTTGAATAGCTCTCCAATTTGAACAGTATAGAATGTAATTATTCTTCTTCTCCTCAAACAGTTGAACCAAATTAGGCAAAAGATTTTGTCTAAACAAATTGAAAGTGGGAAAACGAATGCGCTATATGTAATAAAACAATTAGATTGTACCTGCATACATATAATGTTGAAATACAAGAAAATACACAGTAGAGACAGACACGAATCACTTCGATAAATAGATGTCATAAAATCGACTATGAAGTCATCGACGATTCAGGGGTAGAATACACGCTAGCTAGTACTATGCATGTGATCTGGCAGCACATCCCAGCCGATGCATTCCTAAACCTCAGCTGATCAGAAGTAATCCTGAACAAGACGGGAGGTTCAGCGTGAAGCAAAGAAACTCCACCTTGTAGGAAACAGCACAAGCGTCACTGAGACTTCAAAGCTTATAAAGTTTTAAGCCCTGTGCCCCATTGTTATGTTGCTGCTGCTGAGTGGTTAATAGTAGTTTTCCCCGTCGCCAAATTGTTATGTACTCGTCGCTAAATTATTGTTATGTACTGGTCGAGAATTTAATAGTCCTGACGCAAGAAAGACGGAAATCAGAAGACCACTAGGTTTGCGATGATACTTCTATTTGCCAAAACACCAGGAGAAGCAATAAGTGGTATCACACCAAAGAGTGTAAGTCACACAAGCTTGTGAGAACGAAATATATAATGAATGTTCAGACAAGGGTGTGAACAATCATTAGACAGTCTTAACATGAATGGCTAATTATAATGAAGTATCGATCCATATATACATAGCAAAATATAGCAGACATGTCAACAACCACCATATATGGATATATGTCACTAAGCAACGGACTGTCAACAAACACTCATATTATATATAATATAAGGGGAATATACATTGTTAAAGGAGACAGGTTCATCAAAGTGAAATGGTCACAGACTAAGAGAGCAAACAGAAAGAGAGATCACCATACACATATATATATATATGTATATGGATACATATCACCCATATTCCAATTTGAATTCAAAGGAAGAAGGCGGGGGTGGCTGGGAAATGACAACATCTATTGGGAAATGCAGTTGTTTTCTATATGTCCAAACCAAATTCACTTTTGATAGTTTGAAAAAATTTGCGCATTGGGAATATGATATTCATTATAATAATGGTTTGTTTTTGTATTTCCCAATGAATAAATGATAAAACGCTACCGTCATATTTTAATGATGTTTCGCTATTTATTGCTGCTGCTAATAGCTCCATAAAAGTAGCATTATTAAACCAGAATTTACAAAATCCACTCAGCTTATATTACATAACAACTTAATCATCCTTCATATAAGTATAAAACTTGGGCACTGTGGTAGAGTATAATTCCATTATATATAAGATTTTATTTTGATAAATCGCACAGTGTTTACAGTTATATGAACTGATGACGTTTCGAGCACAAACTATTTCTCATAATCATATCAAGTACTTGATATGATTATGAGAAATAGTTTGTGCTCGAAACGTCATCAGTTCATATAACTGTAAACACTGTGCGATTTATCAAAATAAAATCTTATATATAATGGAATTAATCATCCTTCATCAGCATGGGGGCAATTTTGCGTTGTCAAGTTGGCCAATTGGTAAAGATAACAAAACCAGGTGTATGTAGATTGTTGGATTTGATAAGTGTATAAAATTATAAAAGCAGAGCGTGTGTTTACATATTGAAATCGCTTATCACATTCGTGTTGATTTTGTCATTTCATGGGCGGGAGGGAGGTGTTGTAATCAGGTCAAATTCTGTTTTAGTCTATCATTCCTATTCATCAGACAATTTGGATTCCACTTGATATGAAGTGCTTCTGATGATATTAGACGTTCTGGATGATGATATCAATATTGTCGAAATCAATCTTGTGGCCTGATTTTATAGAATGTAGACCTATGGCTGATGATTTTTCAAGCTTTTTTAGTCCAAATGGATTTCTCGATGGTCAAACAGAGGCGGCTCTAAGGTGTTCATTTCCTTTGATGTTGATTTCTCTCCGGCGATGTTTGTAAATCCTGGTTTAATAATACTACTTTGATAAAGCCGTCAGCAGCAGAATTAAATAGCAAAACGTCAGTAAAAACAACAACAATATCGTTTTGCCCTTTTTCTTTCATTGGGAAATAGAAAAATCCCTTATTATAATGTAGTTGTTTCTTTAGAAATAGGAACACAGGGAATTCAATTTCTCCCTTAAGAACTATCAGTTTTACTGACTATTGCCACAAGGAATTTCACGCTTCCTGAAGCATGCAGGATTGTAATCATCATTATCACAGACTAGTCTCTGAAAAATGTATCTCACCTATCAACTAATGATTCATAGAATCTTGAAGACTGCAACCAGGTTTTTTATACCTTGCTACACATGAAAGTAGTCTATAACTGTATGCATCCTTACAGATGAATCGCTAGAAGTAGTCAGATATCCGGCTGACTGTCGACCAAAGGACGTGTGGTGTTTACTGCTCATCAGTCCACTCCGACCTCCTTTATGGCTGTGAGTGAGACCTGGCCACTGAAAGTGGAAGACATGAAAAGGGTGGCTAGTTGTCTTTTACTATAGGTACCTGCGTTCTATCTCCCGTGTGAAGTGGTATGACAGAGTGAGCAATATTAAGGTGAAGCCTCAGTCGAGCCAGTGCTAGGTAAGGAGGGGGAATCAATAGAGGAGGTTGTGCAGTTACATCGACTGAGATGGTTAGAACATGTATTACGTATCCATCCCTAGCCGCCCATCGCCTTCCTCGACAACAGGCAATGTTAGCTGACATAGGGTCAGATTGGAAAAGAGACAGTGGTGGTCAAACCAAAACATGGCTTCACCAGTCAATGAAATCGACAACAGTTAGTTTAAGCCAGCCGATATGTAGAGAGACGTAGACTTCTTGGTTGGGGTTATCGGGACAGTAAACATGACAAGCTTTAATGACTCTCAAGTCTGTGTTGAGGTGAACAGCACTCTGCATGAAAAATAAGACCCGGATTTTCAACTCCAATGTGAAGTCAGTGCCACTTATTATACGGATCAGAAACTTGGTCAGATCGCCGCGTTACGAAGGGCACTTCGAACAAACTACACACCTTCATCAACACCTGACTTCGCTCAAGATAAGATGGCCTGAAAGTATCAGCGACAGGGATCTATGGGAACGATGAACCAACCAATTCAGAAGGAAGCAATTGTGCAACAAATATGCAGGAAGAAATGGAGGTGGATTGGATTGGTCATACACTGAGAAAACAAACCATCAAGTAAGTGACATCACATGCCAGGCCATCGCTCGAGTGGGACCTGGACGGGAAGTGGCGAGTCGGTCGTCGGTGTGAGGGTGACATAGAGGAGTAGGTCATGTGAAGAAGAGATGATGAAAACATAAGGGCAGGCGTGTAGGCAGGTCAAAACGTTGGCAGAGAACCGAACGCAATGAAGACGTGCGGCTGAAGCGCTATGTTCCTCTGGCAACTAAAGGAAACAATAATTAATAACTTTCTATGCAATAGATGCTCAAGCTTCGAATCTATCCCTGTCATTTTAAGTTTGACAAGTTAGATAGTAAAGTAAGATCAACACTTACATAATAAGTATGATGCATTGAAATGTAGACATTTCCATACACTTGGTGATGATTGCTACCCATTTCGATAACACCAGGTAGCATAAACCTTACTCGGTAGATGGAAAGGGCATCGAATCTTTGTGTTCCAAAGCTCTGCGTTTTCGAATATCAGCTACGCACGATAGACAGGAATATGGTGAACGGACAAAAGGAATGTACAAGACTTCGTGGATGAATTATGCCTAATATCACAGATAAACTTGGAGAAATTGAGAAGCGGAAACCAACGAATCGTCAGAAGAAACAGCGGAGACAGGATCTTAAGTGATCATGAAGAAGACGACTGCCAGCAATGGAAGAAATCTAGAAGAAGTCATCTTGTTCACTTATCTAGGGAGCATCTTTTCAATTAGACGTGGCGAAACACATGAGGATGTCAAAGACAGCCAGGATCGGAAAGGCAAAACAGACCGTTATTCATCTGAAGTCAGGAACAGGATTCGAATTTTCAACAATTCAGTTGGCACTTCTATATAGTTAAGGGACTTGGTGCGTTACCAGAACCATTACCAACAACGAGCTGCCTTCACTCTATAGTGAAGATCAAATGGCCACCAGAATGAGCTCTATAGCAACAAAGAACTATGATAGGCAGAGAGCCAACCAAGAACTGATCATCCAAAACATATTTAGAAGGGAAATGTGACATGAATTAGACATACTCTGAAAGAACTGTTGAGTACATCGTGCGCCAGGCCGTCGAATAAGATATGAGTTCAAGGGTGACACATAGAGGAGATCTTGTTAGGAGGACATGATAGTCGGTGCGTTGGTGGCACAGCGGTTAGGACTCTCGCCGACCATGCACATGGTCCAGGGTTCGAGCCCTCGCCGACGCACACCTGATATCTATGGTCCGCCTGCGAATTTCGGGCTACCGATATCCACGCTGAAAATTCCATACTTGTACTGAGAATACGGTGTGGAATCAAGCTGTAATCAAAAAATTAAAAAAAATTAAAAAAAATTAAAATTATTGGCTCAAACATGGGATCAGCTAAAAGGGACTTCAGAAAACAGGATGAAATGGAGAAGTCGTATTGAAGTCACCCAAAGTTCCCACTCGGAAACCAAGGGAATAATAATGATAATAATAACCACACGTAATGTGTAATCAAGTGCACAAAAAAATCAATTAAATCTTACCCTTCAATCGGTAAACTGTACAATGAACAACCGAGTAGAATTTTAGGCTGATCAATCCTTTGAATAATCGGTTCATGGTGATTAACCCAAACAACTTGTGGAAATGATTTACTAATCAATATATAATCATCCGACGATTGATCCATTGAAGACAGCAAAGTGGACGATTTCACAAGAAACTGTTGTTCAAGCCAAGGTTGTACAGCTATATGAAAACGTGTACGATTGAATGTTTTCATTTTAAGACATTTGACAGCCCGATAATTAGAATATAAATGTAGACTAGTGCAAATGAAGAAGCTTAACCATATGAGACTGGAAAATAGTAGAACAAAAGAGAATATTTATACTAGTGGCGTCAATTAAATTTCTAAAATTTTAAAACGGTGAACTAACTGACCTATGTATGTTATATTCTTGAAGAAACACTGGGTATCAGTCGCACGTCTCCATTGTGCTCGGTTCTCCACCAACGTTTTTACCTGACTACACGTCTGCCCACACGTATTCATCTCCTCTTCACATGACCTCCTACACTCCACGTCACCCCATCCTCACACTGACGACTAACTCGCCGCTTCCCATTCGGATTCCACTACAGCAATGGCCTGGCATGTGATGTCGCTTACTTGGTGGTTCGAGTTCTCAGAGTGTGGCCAATCCAATTCACCTCCATTTCTTCCTGCTGGCTTGGTTGTTTCGTTCATTGTCATAGATCCCTGTTGCTGATCTTTTCTAGCCGACCATGTGATCTTGAGTACTGTTGAGCGAAGACAGCTGTTGATGAAAGTGTGTAGTTTGTTCGAAGGGCCTTTCGTGACGCGGCAAGCTGGCCAATTCCCTGATCCGTATAGTGAGTAGCACTGATTTCACATTGAAGTTAAACATCCGGATCTCCATGCATTTATTCCCCTTGATGAATACAATATTTGTATGTGCGTTGTTGAATAGTCTGAGTACGTAGGAGGCATGCCCGACTGAAAGCTGCTACCTTGACGTGGGTCGGCTTGAACACCGCAATGACCTAATCAAGCTATACTGGCTGAGACTTATGTCTCTTGAGGTCTACCATGCCAGGCAGGTTGTTTGGATAGCGGTTAAACAAAAAGCAGCTACCCAATCCAACATCATGTTCAATACAAAATCACAAAATTTCATGCCGGATCGGCCGTGGCCCGGATTAACAACGACCGCGCTTCCTGCTGCCGTGTCACAGGGCAGGAGTGATAAATATGCTACTGAGACACACCAAACAAAAAAGAACAAACAAAAACAGGCCGCGTGTGACCGGCCTCAAGCAGTTGTCCCCTGGGCTCTGCGGTCACGCAACCAACTTCCACGGTGTGGGCAGCCGGGAAGTAACAATCGCCCTCACAATCCGAAATGCACACGAAACCTCTCTATTACTCACTCATCTTTGTCTTCATCTTCATCTCTATCATCTTGCCTTCCTTCCACTGATGCAACTCCTCGACTTGATAGCTCTCCACTTCCACTCTGCATCCACTAAAAACGATGGAAGCCAAAAAACCACCACCGACAGCCTCTTAAAGCCGCGCCACCAATTTCATATAGGAGCTCTTAATGTTAGGACACTTTGCCAAATAGGACAACAAGCATCACTAGCCAAGACCCTGGCATCACGAGCCATTGATGTATGCTGTGTTTCAGAAACACGCATACAAGACCCAAGTGTGGTTATTCACCTAACCCCACCTGGCCAACAGGTTGAATCTGCAAAATTCACCTTGAGGGTGTCAGGAGATGCCACAGCTAGTTCACGAGGATTAGCTGGCGTAGGGATAGCTTTGAGTACTAGGGCAGAAAAGACATTGCTTGACTGGATCCCGGTAGATAGCCGAATGTGTGCTGTCCGCCTGAACGGATCAGTAAGAAGGAGAAAGGACTGCACTACTCGCCGATGCCTTTTCGTAATCTCCGCCTACGCCCCCACTGACTGCAGTTCAGATGAAACGAAGGATGAGTTCTACCAAAAGCTGTCTAGTTTGGTGGAAAGGCTAAACGCTCAGACATAGTCGTTCTAGCTGGTGACTTTAACGCTCAAGTAGGGAAATTGTGTCAATCTGAGAAGGATGTCGGTGGCACCTATGGAGTTCCGTGCCAGCGAACCGACAACGGTGACCGTCTCCTACAGTTCTGCTCTGATAATCATTTGTTTCTTGTAAGCACTAACTTCAAACACAAGGAGAGACACTGTTTGACTTGGAGACCCCCTTCATCAAACCAACGCTGGACACAAATAGACCACATAGCAATAAGCTATCGTTGGCGTGGGTCGGTAGGAGATTGTCGCTCCTTCTGGAACACGTGCGTAGATACCGACCATGCACTGGTCCGCGCTCGGGTGTGCTTACGACTGAACGGACGTAGGAAACAGCTGGCGGTAAAACCATCACGTCCCCAGCTCGATCAGGAAACTAAATCCGTATTTGAGGAAGAACTAGCTAAACACATATCTGTGTTCGACAGCTGTGCTCACCCTGAAGAAGCTTGGAAAAATATCCAGGCAGCCATAGATACAGCTGTAAAAGCTGTGAATAAGGTAAACCCAAAGGTGAGTAAAAACCACTGGATCTCCACCGCCTCATCCGAACTGATAGATGCTAGAAGACTTATTCCGGCGAGCTCCGAATTCAATGAGGAGCGAAAGCTGCACAAGAGGAAACTTACGAAAAGTCTCCGCAAGGACCGTGAACAGTGGTGGGCGACAAAAGCCAAAGAGATGGAGAAAGCTTCGAGGATAGGCAACACCAGGCAACTCTTTGGACTCATCAGGGAAACGGGTGGGAGAAGACAAATCATTAGTGAGACAATCTCGGAAAAAAATGGCACTATAATTAGCTCCCAGGATAGACGACTGGATCGTTGGAAAGAGCATTATGAGGAGCAGTTTAATTTGCCCACAGCCACGCTCAACCTTCCGAGCATCCAACACCTCCCTGAATGGGATATAGACACAGGTCCTCCGTCACTAACTGAGGTTACTAAAGCTGTCACCAATCTGAAACTAGGCAAAGCAGCGGGACCTGATGGAATGACTCCAGAGGTATTTAAGTACGGTGGAGACAGCTTACTGTCCGGATTAACTGAGGTACTAGGCAGCGTCTGGGAATCAGAAGAAGTCCCATCGGGTTGGTGTAAGTCACTGATTATCCCCATATACAAGAAGGGAGACAAGTCTTCCTGTGATAATCACAGAGGGATTAGCTTGACTAATATAGTATCTAAAGTCTTAGGCTCAATAATCATGCGTAGACTGAGTGGTGCTCGGGAAGCACAAACACGAGAGAGCCAGGCAGGCTTTAGACCAGGAAGAGGGTGTATTGATCATATCTTCACCCTCCGACAGATTCTAGAACATAGGCATTCCTACCGGCGTCCAACAGTCATTATATTTCTTGACCTAAAGGCAGCATTCGACTCTGTCGATCGGGAAGTTCTCTGGAGATGCTTGGCTGTAAAGGGAATTCCAAGAAAATATATTGCACTGATTAAGGCACTCTACTCGTACTCATACAGCCAGGTGAGGGCTTACGGCGAGCTGTCATCTGAACTGATGACGACCAGTGGTGTCCGTCAAGGATGCCCATTATCTCCTTTTCTATTCAACTTCATCATAGATGTGTTAATGGACTTAACCCTAGGTGACTTCAGCGACTCAGGGATTGACTTGCTACCGGGGAATAATCTCGTTGACTTGGAATATGCAGACGATATAGTCCTTCTAGGCGAAGACGCTGACGAAATGCAGAGTCTTCTAAACACCTTGAGCCGCAATCTACGAATGTTTGGCATGCGATTCGCTCCCGCCAAATGCAAGATGATGTTACAGGACTGGACTACATCGACGCCTAGTTTAAAAATAGGAAGTGAAGTGGTAGAGCACGTTGACCGCTTCACTTATTTGGGAAGTACCATCAGCCCCAACGGGCTGATCTCTGACGAAATCTCAGCACGAATACAAGGGGCTCGTTTCGCATTTGTTAGTTTACGCCGACTCTGGCGTAGACGAGATGTTCGACTATCGACCAAAGGGCGGGTGTACTGCTCATCAGTCCGCTCCGTCCTCCTTTATGGTTGTGAGACCTGGCCACTGAGAGTGGAAGACATGAAAAGACTAGCTGTCTTTGATCATAGGTGCCTGCGTTCTATTTCCCGTGTAAAGTGGCATAATAAGGTGAGCAACATGAGGTTAGGCGTAGAGTTCTAGGTAAACAGGGGAAATCAATCGACGAAGTCGTGAAGCTACAAAGACTGAGATGGTTAGGACATGTGTTACGTATGCCAAGCCATCGCCTCCCTCGACGAGCAATGTTAGCGGATATAGGGTCAGGCTGGAAAAAAGCTAGCGGCGGTCAAACAAAAACTTGGCATCAGTCAATGAAATCCACAACAGTTGGTCTAAGCCACGTAGGAAGGTGTAGACTTCCAGGCTGGGGTCCTCGGGACGGTAAAAATCTATGGTTGGAAACAATTGGTGACATGGCTCAAAATCGTTCTCAGTGGCGCAGATGCATCCACTCCTGTGACTTATGATCTCCAATGAAACTGTTTTGTTTTCTTTATTACTCCTTTGTCTCACACCTCTGCTCACTGTTTCTATTATGCTTTTCTTGTACTTTCTTCTCTTGCTTCGCGTGCTACACGGAATGTGGCGACTTGAACTTCCGCACATTTGTGCAAAGTTCTATGTCGAAAACAGACAGACAGGAGGCATGACTTTCGTTGTTGCATACTACAAATGTGTCATCAACGTATCGACAATAGGAAGTTGTTTGATCAATTGCATGCTTCAGCTTTGTTTTCTCAAGGTTTGACATAAAGATATCTGATAAAACAGGGCTAAGTGGACTGCCCATAGCTACACCACCTATTTGTCGGTAAAGAGTGTTGTCAAACTGGAATTGTACACCCATGGTACACATTAGCAGCAGGCATTTGAATTCTACGTCTATCTGCGGGAGCAGTTATATTGGGAGAACAGAAAGAAGGGCACACCTCCGACTTTCTGAACATGTGACGAAAAGCCTACTTCTCAAGGGAACAAACTCTTATAGTAGAGCTATTACCAGACATCTCCTCGACACGGGTCATGAGGTGGAAATCGAGAAATCCTTGAAAATTGTCAACAAACAAAGGAGCTTCATTCCCCTCAAGTTTGCCAAAGCAATTTCTATCAAACGCTTGAAACCAGATTTATGTGTTCAGAAAGAAGCAGTTATTAGTCTTTCCTTGCCCTGCCTGGTAACTAACTGGATGTCTTTTTTCTCTTATCTGAATACGTAATCTTTGTC